AACAACAAACAACAACAACAAACAAAAAAAAAAAAAAAAAAAAACACGCGGTTGCCTCCACACTGATCTCACGCAATCCAAAATTGCAGGGTTTTGGGAGCTCTGGCCTTCGTGTGTCCAGCCACCCAGGGCACGCTCCTTACATGCAGGTATCGAGACCACATATTTCAGCAGTTGTCACGGGTCCGGGATTTGGCAGTTTCGATTGCGAGTCTTGTTGAATGACCGTGTTACGGGCATCCTTCAGCAAAACCAGTCGGAATATCTGGGAACCAAAGCCTCAGGATGTCTTCAGACCTGGAAGTATTAGTAGTGATCAGTTTAAGCCTTGAAGCTTTTCAATGCTTTGGCTTTGTGACGTTGCTCGTCCGTGCCATGGTCATCTTTGCCGGACTTGCCTGCTGAACCCCAAACTCTTCGGCCCTGCCCTGTACGTCCAAAGCAGTGCCCTGAAATACCTGAAGATCTCAGAGTCTCAGCGTGCAGATGCTCGAAAGCGTTCCCACCCGAGACGCATCAGCTCCGCAGGCTCGTAGAAATGGTCTGCCTGACGATAAAGCTCAGCCCGCAGAGGATCCTCACGCCGGGGCAGTGCGGGGTGTGGTGCTGTGCCGGGCTCTGGGCCCAGCGTCTCCTACGAGGCCTTGGATTCTGGCTTCGAGGCTTTTTCTCGAGGGTTAAAATCGGATCTCTTGCTGGGGAGTTCGGATCGGGATGCGGCCTTCGCTGAGGCCGGGCCTATGCCTTGTTTCTTGCCTTGGCCTCAGGATCTTTGGAACGTCTGCTCGCACGGGCTCTTCACGAGCACGTCTTAAAGGCTTGTCTTAAAGGCTTGCTCATTGCGCAGCCCTCTCGACAGATCGATCTGCCCTTCTCGCAGGACTACCTAAACCAGGACGGGCAAGTTGCTGCCCGATTCCATTGACATGGCCCATCATGGCCCGATGTGTCGAAGCACGAAATTGAGCAGTTCAAAAAGCAGGAACTTTGGGACCTTGGGATGGCTCTGCGGCTCGGCCATGCAGGCATGTCTGCTTCAAAAACCAGAGGGTGTTTTCTGCACTGAACCCAAGTACATCATGTCGCTTCCGCATGAGGCAAGTGGGTGAAGCCAAGGTGCTCTTGAGAAAGCCTCAGAACTAAAGCGCATCCAACATGCAACCACAAAGACAAACGGAGCCATGCCGCGGGCCAGTCCGGAACGTGTTTTTGAATAGCGACTACTGTAGCACTTCGACCGGCAGTATCTGGGGTGGGCCTGGGGCCTGGCATCCAGAAACCCTGGGATGCACTAGCGACAGAGGCGGCCAAGAGAACACGTGAGCGTTTACCCACAGCCAGCACAGCAGTCATACTGCGGCAACACGGGCAGGATGCTACAGCAACTGCAGTGGCAGTGGCACTGCAGAAGGACCGTTGGACAATACAATCCTGGTGGTAGACATGGCCGCATGGAAAGATTGCACCCTAGCTCGATGGCAGGAAATCCTCCAAGCCGCAGAGACACGTCTTCTGTGGCACTGTCTGGACAGGAGGGATCGAGATCGGACGGGACCGAATCCATTCTGCTTGCCCTGGTCTAGTGTAAGTATAGTGCATCTCCTGGCTCGTTCTGACCTCCTCATATGTACACGATGCCCAGATAAACTTTCCTTCATGCTTTGGCTTGGCTGGCCTCACCTCACGGCTTGAACCATCTTTGTACACAGAGGCCAGCGCTGCCAACATCAGCAGCGAGGCCAGCAAGAGTACCAGCAACGTAGACCACCTTGATTCGGCGGCACACCCAGCATCATAACAAAGAACACCATCATCACCGAAACGAAGCTCGCAAGCATCCGGACAGCAAGCACAGATCGAACTTGGCTTCCCCAGTCCAGCCGCATGTTTGTGGGAGGGAGAAACACCAAAAGCTTTTGCAGTCGTACTTCTGCATGTCCGTGCTTTCTGGAGACCCAAGCCTGCGTGTCCAGAAAGCCGCTGTGTTGCTGCTTGACATATATACATCACAGTGTTCTTCAAAGGGGCAGACATATTGAGCCCCACCTGCTGCAAGCGAGCGACACATGCCACAACAAATCCTATCTTCTGCGCTGACCGATCTCTTGGCAATCGAAGCTTGTGAAAAGCACTCCGAGAAAAAAAAAAAAAAAGAAAAACTCTCCATCCCGTCCCGAAGTGAAAACCTACAAAGCTCCTTGGAGATGCCGGTCTTGGCTGGCTGCGCCGTATCGAAATCAGGTATGGAAGACCTTTGCTCGCTCTGCTCGCTTGCTAGCTTTAAAGAAGCACTTGGCACAGAGCAGACGTCTAGCAAAAGTTGAACCGACGAGCGAGGGCAATTGCTGTTTTTTTTATCTGTGTTCATTCTTGTACCTGGAACCGCCCGAAACCTAGCCCTACGCTTGCAACACCTCTCTCCTTCACTCTGCCTCCTGATAGCCGATGCTGCTTCCGTAGGTCGTGGCTTGACATCACAGTGGCTTTTTGCAATCGGGGTGAGCAGAGGCCCCTGGTCCTCGCCATACAGCCAACATGAATACTGCATTGGCTCGTAAATCTCTCAACACCATTTCAATCAAGCCGCTCAAGTCAGACAACATACATACCGCCGATGTTAGCGATCAATCAAACATGATAGGAGGAGCCTTTGAACCCCTTGGGGTTGCGACCAAACAGCATCATGCCCAACAGCTCTCGAAGGGTGGTTTTCGCAGCATTCACGCCCCAGAGTTCTTCCACGCTGGTGAAGTTTTGCTTCGGGTCCTGTCAGCAAGTGCCACATTTTATCGTAGCTAGACAAAGATCCTGTGGCGAGCTGGTGCAGTCCTTTGCTGCCATCCTTGCAAGCACGGGGTCCACCAACGGGGCGATCTCATCGTCCAGTCCTAAGCATTAGCCCATGCCGCTCCTAACGGCACTTCCACGAATGCCCAGGAAATTAAACATCCAAGCAACTGCTGGTTCAAAGGAAACTAGCGAGCGCCGGTTCGATCCTGTTCGAAGGGAGGATCGGATACGTCTGCTGGACAACACGCTTCAACTTCTTGTGTTTGCCAGGATCGTGCCGAGTACGGGACAGCACATAAGGCGCGCTTTGTGGCACGCGGTCAAACGTCAAGAACGCTTCTCAACCCGAGCCCATAACATGTATATGAATATATATATATAGATAGATAGATAGATAGATAGATAGATAGATAGAGTTAAACTTGCAATTATAATTGGTGTAGTGTTTAGGTTCAGGGAGGCTCGTTTGGAGTTCGGTAGGAGATGGGACCCCAGCTTTGCTCTATCCAGCCCAGGTAGGTAGCTGAGTTCCTGGTACATTCATGTGGGGGTGGGTCCGAGCTTCGGGAAGCATTCACAAGTAGTAGGCATGGTTCGGGCCGAGGCAAGCCAAGCTGATATCGGGAAGCAAAACATGCAAAACATGAGGCATGCACGTTTGATCTTCTACCGGGGGTTGAATATCGCGACATTCGACCCTGCTCTCGAAACAGTGCCGTGCGTATTTTGGGGTGCACCCAGGGTCCGCTGGATGCTGCGGTCTAAGATTTCAAACTGTGCATCAAACTGTGGTGGTGGCTCTGGGTAATTAGTTGGATTCAATTGGAGGCCTTTTCCGACTGAAGTGAAATCACTAACCGGTAAAGAAACGCCTTTTGTGCGGGCACGCACACTCGAGAGCTCAAGGCCTTCGGTCGGGCACTGGCGTGAAGAAAAGCGCTCTGCCCATGGAAAGCCTAAGAGATTCCTCAGCCCCCCCAAATTCTGTGGGCAGAGCTCAAACTTTACTCTTGAGACGGGAAGCGCTTTGCTTTCCCCTCTCCAAAACATCGTTCTCTGCTTCAATCTGGAAACGGCTTGTCTGCATCAACTGCATAAGCGGCTGCTCATGTGCCCCGATGGCCTTTGTGAGGTGGTCGCTTGGGTTCGTGTTGTGAGGTATCCACCTCAAGCGACCTTGGAGCTTCGCGATGGAATCCTTGATTATAGCGACTTCCAACGCCGCCCTGTCGTCCTCGCCGGTCGACTGGTCGGCGACGACATTGTCGTAAAGGCTTTTCGCATCCACCACTGCCACTGACAAAGGGTCGGCGAACCTTTTGTCTTCCGAGCGGATCACCGTTCCTTCACCATACAAACCACGTTCTTCATCTTCGTCTTGTGCCAGTAGCCGTGGATTGAAGTGGGACACTGTGATCGACAACCACATGGCTGCTTGTCGTTCCAACGCCCCCAAAGCCGTTGAGAGGGAGATGGACTCACAGAGTAAGGTGTTGCCTGCCTTGCGTCGCATCCTTCTTGACCGCCATCCAAGCAAGCTCACCTCCGCGGAGGCTCCATCGTTGAGCGCAGGAGTTGTGATTCCCTGCAACCATCCATGCTGAGGCTTGTCGACGCCTCGATTCTCGAAAGAGCTGTCCGCCACCACAAAGTGCCGCACCTTGTTCTCTGGGATAGGATGGACCCGGAGCGTGATGGGGTGGCTCTTCAGGCGGAAAACCACTTCGTTCACCCGCAGGATGTCCGCAACTTTGGCCTGTGGGAAGCAGCCGGCAAAGATCGAAGCTGCCGAGCTGGCGTCAGGACGACCTTCCCTGGCCACCCAGTTTATCGAAGCTATGGTCCCCCTCAGCTGAGCTTCTTCGTCCTTGGTGACCGGGATCGTCTCAGAGTCCTTCTTTAAGATGCGTCGCTCCATGCGGACTGGCTTCAACCTCTGCGCGATGTAGTCGTCCATCGTGTAGCGGAAGCCCCAATCTTTGTCTTGGAAGACTCTGCGACCCGCATACGAAGTTCCTTCGGGCTGACGTCTTTGGCCCATGCTGGCCAATGTCGTGTGGCTGCCAACTGCATGAACAGGTACATACTGATAGTGAGCGGAGTGGGCGCACTACGTTCCACGGCATGCACCATAGGATCTTTCCATCCTACCACACACCACCGACTTTTGGGTCCCAACTTTGCTCTGAACTCCGGCGTGATGTTCCCCACGTCGAAGTCGGTCGGAAAGGTGACTCCATCTTCCGGCTTGTAGCGGTCCACATAGCGGGAGGTGAGCACGAAGTCGGGATGCTCTTTTGCAAACCGCAGGCTGTCCTTGAGGCTCAGAATGGTGATGGCCCCCGAGTCCAACAAGGATTTGACCTCCTTTGCCCGCGACTGCCGAAAGATGCGCTTCTCGTCGGGGCTAAGCTCCGAGAAGGTAATCTGTCCTGGCGACTCCTTCTTCTTCGTCAGATAGAACAGCTTGTCCCTTCTGTTGAAGAGGGCCATGGCATTCTGTGTCTCGAACTTCTCCTCGGTGCTCGCAACGGTGTGGTAGTGCTTCTTGGCTTGACGCGTTCTCATTCGTTGTGGATCACCTTCTCGAACTCCATGTTCGTCCGTTGTCAGCACCTCGAAATAGTGAGAAGGTCCAGGTGGCGCTGGCAATGAGGGAGTCGTCGCCGAGAAGGGATACGGCATCGGTCTCGGTGTAGTAGTTTCCACATGCCGCGGTCCGTAGAATGGGCCATGGGAACCTTCGTCGATGCGAACTCCACTAAGCCGCCGCGACGGTGGCTGCGAAGGTTGTGAGGGCGCCGACATATTCTCGGAAGGCTCCCGGGTAGACATATCGAGGGGTGTCAGGGAGTCTTGTTGCTCCTCCACGTGATCCATGTTGACATCTTGCTGACGGGCGGCATTCTCCTCTGCAGGCTCCGGAATCGACGGCTCGCACATCTCCATGTCCTCCTCGTCGATCCTCTCCAGGGCTCCGGAGGGATCGTCACGTAGCCTTTCAGGTGGCCCGCCCTCCTTTTCGACATCACGAAAGTTCTTGAGATTACCAGACTCGAGGGATTCCAGCATCTCTTGAGAGACCACTTTTGCCAACTCGGCACCCAGGTGCTCCTCCGAGGTGGCTTGTCTCACTTGCTCGCGGGCCGCTTTGATGAGATATCCCCGCAGGCTGATCCACAAGGATCTGCCATTGGGACTCTCGGCAACAATGATTCCGGGGCCACTCCAGCCTCGGTACTCCGAGGTCTCCCGCCACACATAGACCACATCACCAGCCTTGGTAGGATTCGCATCTGACGACCTCGTATTTGCTTTACCAGCCCGCGAGATCGCGGCCTGGTCCTGCTGCTCCATCCATGCTTTACGGGCCTGCTGTCGTATATCCATGGCTCTTTTCATAGCATCAGAAGCTCCACCAAGTACCAGCTCCCGATCAATCATGTCATCCGACAGCATCGACATGGGCACACGCGGCGTCGAACCAAACACCCGTTGATGCGGCGAGTGCCCACTGCGATCGTAGTACATGTTACGTGTCCACAAGGTCTCGGCGATGGCAATCTTCATCTCTTCGCCGTCGATCACAGTGGCCTCGTCGACAACCTTGGCCAGCTTCTCTTTGAACACTCCACCGGCCTTCTCCGTCCTTGAATTCTGCCAAGGTGCCCTGGCGTCAATGAAATGCACTATGCATCCGGCTTCCGACAACCTGTCCACGAAAGGCTGTCCGGTGAACTCTCTTCCTTGGTCGGCCACAATCAACTTCGGAGTTCCATAGTGGCCCACCCAGGAACACATAAAGGCTTGAGTGACAGTCTCGGACCGCCGGTCGGGGATGGCCTCCACCCACTGGTAACTTGTACCCCAGCATAGAACATTCATCATGATGATCTTGCGAAAGAACACCAGGTCGATACCGACGACTTCATTAAATCCCATTTCGCGACCCAAATGCGCAGGCCTGTGAGGCTGGGGCCGCCGTCGTCGACTGCAGATTGGACAGGAGAACTCGTTCTTCACATAGCGGATGATGTCCTGACGGACACCGGCGTGTTTTAAAGCACGGCAGAAGCTCCTCGTCTCTGGATGGCCAAGATTGCGGTGGATGCGGTAGATCTCCCGTCGAACATCAGGGGCCAGCACTACACTTGGTCTCGACTCGCTCCCGGGGCTGTCCGTCGGACCTCTGATGTCCAACTCCCGCAACTCATGGCTCACTCTCTGCTCATCCTCGTTCTCGCGGTCCATTTCCTGCACACACTCCTGCTCGTCGTCCTTGACAAAATGTCCATCCGTGCCCTCGACCTCGGCTAGGAATTCGTCCCAACCCAAATCTTCCACAGAGGTCCTGGCGGTCGAGGAGGCACGACGACGAGTCTCCCGCGCATCCTCCAAAATTCTGTGTGTAGGAAATGCGCTGAGCTCTGCCTGTAGTTGATGCTGTTCCGATTGAAACTCCTGAAAATCGTGCGCTGCTGAGCTTGCCATTCGGGTAGCAACAGCGCCAAAAGCTTCTGGAAGGATGACCTCAGGACAAACTTCGAAAATGGTTTGCCCACTCCATGGAGAAGACGAAGTCACCGCCCCAACTGAGGGCCATTGGTCCGTGATCACTCGGGCTTGCCCGCCCAGGTGCTCCTGGCGGGTTATGCGTTTGCCAGTGAACTTGACCTTGGCGACAGTGAACAGGCATTCCTCCGGAAGGCACAAGTGATGGCGAGGCGAGAAATGTCTGCAAAGCAAATTGCCATGCTGCCAGAACCACCTGTCTTCGACAAGAAACACTGGAAAATGACGCAGCCGAAGATGAGGCCGAAGTCCTTCAAGGAAAACGTCCACAAACTTGGCTGCGGTGGCTCCCAAGCTGGAGCCCTTGCTCTCGACCGGCTTGCCGGCCCAACTGCTGCGGCAACGTTTCTTAGCAGCTTGTAGTAGTTCAGGTCGATTGGTCAGTAGAACGATCGGCTGCGCCACACGGAAACTCGGCACACCCAATCCGTTGAGGTTGACCGACACCGAAACCACCGCCCTGCTGTCCTTCAAGGCCTGGAGGGGTCCGAGGCGCGAGCTTGCGGTGTCTTTTGGGTACTCCATG